TGGCACACAACAGCAACAACAACAACATGCCAATAAGGGGATTTTAAACATTTTCTATTGTGATTTGAATGAAAGTTTACAAAGGATATTGTTTGATCAATCATGAGTACACATTTTGTTCCATAGGACTGATTATAACACCCGCACTGTCTGATCATCCACTCCATCCATACTCTTTTCCTTCACCCATTTTAACAAGTATTTGTTAGCAATGAAGTTTCAGCTCCCCACTCGTCTCCCTGGTAACCATACAGGTATGATTCTGTATGTAACAATTCTTTAGCTTTTTTCTAGTTGTGGCCTTGTACAGTGATTGTCCTTGACCCATTTCTCTCAGCATAATGCCGAGACCTTTCAGAGGCAATTTAATCACATGGGAAGGGATTACCCATCCTTCTGAGGAGCAGTTGGTGAGCTTGAACTGCTTGCTTTGGGGATTGCAGTGCAACTTCATACCACTAGGCCACCAGAGCTCCCTACTTCTTTGGAATAAGCAAATGTAATGAAACCAAAGATTTTTAGTGGTTACTAGACATGGGAGAGGGAGAAAGGGGGAGTTTTCACTTTGGGGGCATTAATTTTATATTAATGGCAACAGAATAATTTAGAAAAAGAAAGATATGGTTGCACAGCTTCAAAAAATCCAGTCAGTGTAACTGAATTAGACATGTAGAAATTGTTGAGTTGGCATGTGGTTTGTTATATATTTTTTTACCACAATTAAAAACCTAAACCCTAAGGTAAGTTGTAGCCAGTTGCCATAGATTCCATTCTTACTCATCACGACCTGATATGTGGGGGGGAACTGTTCGTAGGGTTTTCAGTAGTGGTTTTTTCAGAAACATATGACTAGGCCTTTTCTTCTGAGACATTTTTGAGGGAATTCAAACCTGTGAGAACAAGCTCATTAACTTCTGTGTAAATGTGTGTGTGCTGCCTTCCTATGGAGTCTTTAAAAACACTTCATTCTCATACCATTTTTAGGAACTGTGACTACAAAGAAATGACTCTCTTTTCATTCCAAAATGATGCATCTCAGTTACATTATTCCTATCAAAATAATCACCTGAGGAGGCATATGCTGAAGTCAGTGACAGAGCTGTTGCTCAGATGTCTTCAAGTTTCTGCCTTAGAATTCACTTCAAAGCGTATACATGCAGTACAATCTTTGAGTGTCTTTATAGTTATAAATATTTGACTTGAGAAGACAATTTTGATATTTTTAAAGTAAAGGTCATCCAGGCAGAGGTCTGATAACCATGGTAGGTGGTCAGAGGGGCAGTAATATCTGTCTCAAACTCTGGAAGCATGTCATTCAAGAAATTCAAGAGCTTTTTCATGACAAAGATGAATCAGGAGATACTGTTAATTCCTTGTATGTTACATATGATAATGGTGTTTCTTCTCTTTGAACTGAGGTTGAATAGAGCATGTCAGCCAGTTCAGAGTTACTTGGCTGTCAAGTCCCTTGGAGACTCAGGGGTCTCTAGAGCCATGGGGGCCCAGTTCATCAGCTCTATTGACCCCACTGCAGTCACACCAATCTTGACCATGTCCCTTAGTATCCAGCAGCCAGAAGAGACTCCAGAGCAGAAAGTGGCTGATTTGAGAAGCCCTTTGGCTGCGGCACCTCTGCTGCCCTGCCTGTGAGGGGACCGGCATGCTTGTGGAAGGCATACCACGCCTGTGTTTTAAATTGTGTTTGTGTTTGAATCTATGTCTACAAAGCTTGTATATCCACACTCCCTGGAGTGAGTGGGCTGCGGTAGAATACACTTTACGGAGGGGCCAGACTGAGGGGACAGAAGCTGATATGTCTGGCCATCTGTCTGTCCATGCTAACCGCCTAGCACATCTGTCACTTCAGAGTGGCCACAGAGACTGGGCTGTAACTAATCCGAGTTCTGAGACATCCTAAAGCACCCTCAGTTCTTAAAGGAAAATTTACTCTTCTTCATATAAATTACATGTACATTACATCTTAGTGCTTTCTAATTTAATTGAAATATTTCTGTAGTATTTTATACTACAGATACCATTCTATCCCTGTGCCCTGACCTCAGCTGGGTGCTGTGGGGGACGTTGCACCACAGACAACTTGGATCTCCTTGGTAACATTAGAATAATAAGCATACACAGACTAAAGTCTAGGCTGCCCACTCCAGTTAATCAGTGATTCCATTGAGCATTTAACAAAAAAAGGGAGGAAGATGGGGAGTCTCCTCCCTTATAGATTTACATCCTTGAAAACTGATAGAGGGTAACTGTGGGTCAGAACTGACTTGACCATAGTGGGTTACCATGACGTTGGTTATAAACCTGGAAAGACACACTGCCATCAGCCATTTTCAGCTCATAGAAACTCTCTCTCAGGTGTCCTAGTCTTTACCAGAAACTGTCCATCTTTTCTTCCATGAAGCAACTGGTGGATTCAAACCATTAATCTTATTGTTGTTGTTGTTGTTAGGTGCCTTCAACTCGAGTATGACTCATAGTGACCGTGTGAACAACACATCTGAACCCTGTCGAGTTCTGTGCCGTCCTCAACCATCTCTGAAACACTTGAGCCAATCGCTTGCAGTCACCATGTCAACCTATCTCGATGGGGGTCTTCCTCTCCTTTGCTGTCCCTCCACCTTTCCAAATAAGATGTCCTTTTCCAAGGAGTAGCCTCTCCTAGTAACATGTCCAAAGTATGAGAGATGAAGCTTCCCCCTCCTTGCCTCGAAGGAGCACTCTGGCTGCACCTTTTCCAAGGATACCTGTTCATTTTTTTGGCAGTCCATGTGACAGTCTTCTCCAGTCCCACAACTTAAAGGCATCAATTCTTCTGTCATCCTCATTCATTATCCAGCTCTCAGATGCATAGCAAGTGTTTGAAAAGACCATGGCCTGAATCAGGCACACCTTAGGCTTCAGACATCATTGCTCTTCAGTATTTTTTGGAGAGGACCTTTGGTTAGCAACCCAAATGCTACACCACTAGAACTTTTTACTTTGATGCTAAGTTGCCACTCTTGCATCTATTCTTTTTTTTTCTTTTGCATCTATTCTTAAGAAAGAACAAAGGGAGAAAAGAAGGAGAGGTGCAACAATGAATGAATGATATTCTAACTTTTCTGTAAACATATTGAAATCACAATTAAAATTAAAAATTTTATTAAAAAAAATGAAAACACTACGATGTCATTGGGTGGGGCAAACAGTGCGCTCACCCTCTAACCAGAAGGCTGGTGGTTAGAGGCTTCCTGAGCACACTTTTTCTTTTTTTATTTAAAATAAAATTTTATACTGGTTTACTTACAAAATTTGTATACATTGGTTTTATTTTATACTGTTTTACTTACAAAGTGTGTTTACATTGTTTTTCACACTGGACCTTTCCCATTTCCTTCATCCACCCCACCCCCGCCCATCCTCATGCCTCTGCTCCCCCCTCTTCCGCTTGGATCTTCATACACATTCTACAGTATTTGTCCTCATCAGACTGAGTTAGCTCACTTAGCATAATCCGAGCACACTTTGACTGAGTTAGCTCACTTAGCATAATCCGAGCACACTTTGACTGAGTTAGCTCACTTAGCATAATCCGAGCACACTTTTTAAGAAAACCTTGACACTCTACTTCTGAAAAACTTTGCCATCCAAGAGCAGTTCTCCTCTGTAGCATGTGGGGTTGTCAGATTTGCAATCTATTTAATGTTAATCGATTAAGATGCCGATTAAGTTATGACCCATTGTTTTCTGATTCTTTAGAATTTTTTTCATTACTGAATGCTTTTTATAAGTTATAGATGCATTTAGTCACGGTTTTGGGTTTTTTTTTTTAACATGTGTTTTTCTTATTCAGGAAAATATCAGTGAAATAATTTAGCTACCGAGTCCAACTCTGAAGACTTTTTGACTTAGTCAGTAGTGTCCCTGTTTTCTGTGTAGTGCTGTTTACGTTCCCTGTGCCTGCAAGAGCATTGGCGAGGCCCCATTCTGTATGAGCACTCCACAATGTGCTCTGGCTTTTCTCCCATCAGCTCTGACAGTTGTTCTCTAGATTAAAGTACAGAAAGGATATGACAACTGCAACACAACAGCTGCCTAGCAGCAGTGATTATAGGACACATTCCAATCTCCAATCCGTCAAAAGTGAAAACTTGTTGTTGTTGTTGTTGTTATTGTTGTTGTTAGGTGCTGTCAAGTCATGTATGACTCATAGCAGCCCTATGAACAAAAGATCTGAACCCTGTTCTGTCCTGACACACAAGAGCCCACTGCAGCAGTCACCGTGTCATTCCACCTGGCTGAGGGTCTTTCTTTCCCTTTGTCGATCCTCCACCCTTTCCAGCATTATGTCCTTCTCCAAGGAATAGCATCCCCCCAGCAACATGCCCGAAGTATGTCTTAGATACTGACTCTGAGAAAATTTAAAAAAAAAAAATTTAAATTAAAAAACAAACAAACAAACCACCAAAATCAGTAGCCATGTCTGCTAAGGGAATGGAATTGGCATTTGTGCTGCTTTCTTTCCACTGAACAGTTAAAATTTGCTCCTGTAAAATTGGCAAAACTGATTTATTTCCATCACAATAGCAATTGTCATGACTTCTGATGTGGGTCTCTATAAAAAGGTAAAATTTGTTCTGGACAAGAGGTGGTTATCCCAAAGATGTTCAAAAGTCAAGAACCAAAAGGGTGTTTTTCAAGAGTGCTGTTGTATAGGTTGTATTGATATACAGGGTGATGATCCTGCAGAGGCAGATCCCAGAAAAGGAACCACTTCTTCCAACAGAGGGAAGAAAGCAAGCACAGTAAAAAAGAGTCAGAAGTAGAATTGTGAGGCGTGGGGAGAGAATACTGGGGCGAAGGCTAGTTAGGTAGTTGTAGGGTATAAAGGCATAAGCTTTTTCTCTGTGAACATTAGGTCAAGTTAGGGTTTCATTCATTGCTGAGACATAGTAAGTGGTTTGCAAGTTCTATAACTTTCTTTCTCTCCTTCCTTACTATAGGTCCCGATGTCTTCAGTTCAAAGAGCCTTGCCCTTCAAGCCCAGAAGAAGATTCTGAGCAAAATAGCCAGCAAAACAGTGGCCAACATGTTGATTGACGACACTAGCAGTGAGATCTTTGATGAGCTCTACAAGGTCACCAAAGAGCACACCCACAACAAGAAGGAAGCCCACAAGATCATGAAGGACTTAATCAAGGTGGCCATCAAGATTGGGATCCTCTACCGAAACAACCAGTTCAACCAGGAGGAGGTGGCCATTGTGGAGAAGTTCAGGAAGAAGCTGAACCAGACGGCCATGACCATCGTCAGTTTCTATGAGGTGGAATATACCTTCGATAAGAACGTGCTCTCCAAGCTTCTGCACGAGTGCAAGGACCTGGTACATGAACTGGTGCAGCGACACCTGACGCCCAGGACCCACGGGCGCATCAACCACGTGTTGGTATATGCATAGGAGAATCGGGCAGATGAACCCCTCGCCATCTTTCTTGGACTTGCTTGGTCATTGTGTGCTGTTTTTCTCTGGTTCATTAATAAAATTGAAAT